AGCTGGCAGAGTTCTTTGCTCCACACCTGAAAGTGTCACCAGCCAACAATATGTCCAAATGTAATAGCAACAATATTTCTTTTTTTCTTTCATTCATTCTGTCTGTCTGTCTGTCTGTCTGTCTGTCTGTCTGTCTGTCTGTCTGTCTGTCTGTCTGTCTGTCTGTCTGTCTGTCTGTCTGTCTGTCTGTCTGTCTGTCTGTCTGTCTGTCTGTCTGTCTGTCTGTCTGTCTGTCTGTCTTTCTGTCTTTCTTTCTTTCTTTCTTTCTTTCTTTCTTTCTTTCTTTCTTTTCTTTCTTTCTTTCTTTCTTTCTTTCTTTCTTTCTTTCTTTCTTTCTTTCTTTCTTTTTCTTTCTTTCGGTGTCTCTCATCCTTACTGTTTGTCTTGCTCTGCCTCTAATAAGTTTCGATTTGCCTGTGTCTGTAGGTCGGTGTTTTCCCCCCCCCCCACCCTTTTTTCCCTCTTAGGTAAAGTAATTACTGTCTGTCTGTCTGTCTGTCTGTCTGTCTGTCTGTCTGTCTGTCTGTCTGTCTGTCTGTCTGTCTGTCTGTCTGTCTGTCTGTCTGTCTGTCTGTCTGTCTGTCTGTCTGTCTGTCTGTCTGTCTGTTTCTCTGTCTGTCTATCTGTCTCTGTTTGCCTGTCTGTGTATCTGTCTGTCTGTCTATGTGAACAAACGTCTCTCATTATCTCTCAGTACTATCCTAGCTCTCTTATTCTTTGGTGATTTTGATTCGTTCTTTAAATTTATTGTCATCTGTCTATGTATCGATCTATCTTAATTTATATCGGTCTGGATAACGAGGCTTCCATTTGTCTGTCTGTCTCTTTCATTGTTTGTTGTTCTACCTATTTATCTATCTGGCCGCAGTCTATAGTCTGTCCTGTCAGCCAGTCCGTCCGAGTGTTTCCGCAAAACCTTTCTCTTCGGTTTGTTCTGTTTCTTTTCTTTTTCCAGTCGTTATGTGTGCTCCGGTGAATCAGGGCAAGGGAGAGAAGAACTGCAGACAGGTTAAGACACATTTCTTTCTTTTTATGCGTGCCGATCAACATAATGTCTGTTTGTTTGTTTTATATGTATATAAGACAGGTTCAGAGCTGAAAAGAAACATATCAGACACACGTGATGCCAGCTATGGTTCTCAGATCTGCTGAACTTGTAATGGAAGATTCTCCTTAACGTGAGCTGGTCTTCATAGTCATATTCGCAATCGCCATAGGATGTGATTCCCTTGCCACTCTACGGGACAATGGAAAACTCGCTTCTAGCAAGAAAAGTGCAAGCCATCTTGTGCTCGTGCCGATATACCATCTAACATGTTATTTACCTTGGCTCTCAGGTCTACCCAACTTTCAATGGGAACCAGGTGGAGTCCTGGGAAGTAAAGGCGGCCGTTAGTGCCACATCCCCCACCAAGCGCCGATTAGTTTATAAAACAAAGGTGTAGCCCTATATGCCCAATACGCCCGAAGGCTTGGAAAGGGTCCTGTACTGTGTTATTTTCCCTCAGTTCTGTGTGGATGTGGCTTCTCTGGGCTCAGCTCTGCCACACTGTCTACCAACCTCCCACAAACGTTACACAGTAAAGATCCCATCTCCACGCCTTGACAGCATCGGTTGTTTAGTTTTAGCACCATGATCAATCAGTCAGTTCTCTTAATGCCTAGTGGCACATGAGGCTTCAGAAAGGACTTTCCATGCTTTCTGTCCTGTGCAATATTCAGTGCAGGTTACCATGTCAGAAATGCCGAATTCACGTCATTCTTTATCGTTCGTCTACGTGTTGTTTGTAGACGGCCCTTCTTTCTCTTTCCCTCTGGTATCCATCCTAGCACCAGAATATTCCAGATAAATCCATACTCTTTGTATGATACAGAGCACGCTTGGCTCCTTTACTTCCTTGAGTATTTCCTGGCACCCACTTTTATGTGGGGGACGATTCTGGAAAGTCTCATCAAATTTTGCAGTAGTTGCTCAACAGGTCTAAACATCGCCAACAGACAAACCACAGTAGATGCTCAATGGGCGATGCTTTTCGCCAACAGACAAACCACAGTGCCATTGCTGTTTAAGAAATACAGTTGGCAGGTGCAAGGTGCCAGGAGGAAAGCCAGAATTCCTGCTCTGACCAAATGTGAACAGCATGAAATGTGAATGGTGCCACTAAAAAGGAAGAGTCAATCATACATTTTTCCTTGTTTGGGACTAAAAAAGTTTTTTTTTTTTTTTTTCATCGAACGAATGTGATTTTGAGCCTATGTCTACCAAGAGAGGCCAGGGTGCTAGCTACTGCATCATGGTTTTTCTTAACTGACATTGATTCTAAAATTTCGCAAATAAGAATTCTCAATCTAATCAAATATGGGTTTTCGAACTTTTCTAACAGGGATTCTCTCTACGTGCATGTTTTCTACATTAGTTAAAGTAAGTTTGCGAAACTTTTACACGACATTGCAGAACCAGCGCAGCAGTTTTGATCTGTTGTGGTTTTTCTAGGAAAATTTACGTTCAGTATTTTGTCATTGTTTACTCTGTTTACCCATTGTTTCCCTGACACTGAAGTCCTTGACAGAGTTGGACTGTTCAGTATTTACACGATTCTAAAACAATCACAACTTCGGTGGGCAGGTCACATAGTTCGCATGCCTGACCACCGGCTGCCAAAAAAGAATTTTCTATGATGAGCTACAAAAATGGAAAAGGCTTTTAAGCTGGACAGAAGAAACGTTTCAAGGTCAGCCTCAAGACCTCGCTTAAAGACTTCTGTGTTGATCCTAAAACCTGGGAAGTTGCTGCACGTGATTGCTCCTCCTGGCGCTCCTCTCTTCATCGAGGAGCTGTAGCCCATGAAGCTGCTAGAACTGCAGCAGCAGTTCAGAAAAGACAAGCCAGGAAAGACACTGAAGCAAATCACCAGAGAGATGCGGCTTCTTTTCCCTGTCCACATGGCTCAAGAACTTTCAGTGCTAGAATTGGCCTTATAAGCCTTCTGCGCACTCACAGAACCTAATCCAGTCACCATTGGAAGAAAGGACTGGTCATCATCACTTGTGATGGACGAACAACAACAACACAACATTGTTTAATGAACGGTCACCTCTCGACACCACTGTTTAAACCAATGCAAGACGCTCTGCAGCCAAAACTTCTGCAAATTGGATCGAACCAGCATTACGAAATGCGTTCGCAGTTCCTAAACCACACACGTCATCAATATAGCAGTACTATCTAACACTGTATTAACAATTCTCTAAGAATTAACGCTATCCTCTTGCAAAGTCTTAAGGGCTAGAAACCGATTCACCTACCTTGCCATGTGCAGAAAAGTCCTGACCAAAAGGATTTCTGTCCGTCCTGCCCTCTTTAGTCTGGTGTCCGACCCCACTCCAAGCCACACGTCCGCTACAGGGATCGATGACGCTGGCTCCGTTAGGGATTAGTGCCTGGAAGTGGCGAAAGGGGGTCACTACTTGCAGAAGGCTCAGGAGCACAAGGAAGATGATGCTAGCAATGTTTGACTTCCCCATGGTTGTCTGAGGAAATTATCATAATGTTTTCATTTATATTTGCCGACCTGTTTATCAGCGTATCTTCAAGTGTCACTACTGCTATTGTTACTACAACTATTTATACTTCAACTACTGCCAACACCATCGAAAACCACGACCGTCAACACTTTAATTAATGCTACAGAAACTACCGCCGCCGCTGCTGCTACTACTACTACTATCACCACCAACACCACTACTGCACAAATATACGGCAATTACTTCAATATAACTATTGCCACCCTTACCACTACCTCTACTGCTACTACTACTGCTATCACCACCAACACCACTACTACTAAAAATTTACGGCAATTACTACAATATAACTATTGCCACCCCTACTACTACCTCTACTGCTACTACTACTAAACTGCTAATGCTACAACTGCTGCTGATGCTGCGGCTACTACTACTATTAGCATCACCACTACTAAATCTTCTCTGACAGTAATAATGCGTTGAATGATAAAATAAAAATAATAATATATTAGAAAAAATTTTAAATTTTATAAACAGAAACTTATAAATATAAGTTTCATACATGATTTAGGGTTTAGTCACGCCTTGGGGGGGGGGGGGGGCGCCTACGCCTGCAAGCAACAACTGGCTGCAGACCGAACTGACAACAGCTGTATCCTGGCAGTCATCGGGAGCTTGTCGTCAGTAGATGGTATCTGGCAGGACTTACGGGGTGAGTGGACTCAACTGTCGGTGTCTGGCAATGAGCGATGCAGTCTCTCTCTCTCTTTCTCTCTCTCTCTCTCTCTCTCTCTCTCTCTCTCTCTCTCTCTCTCCCTGATGGGGAATACAGTGGGTGTAGACAGTGTTCGGTATTAGTCTCTTCCGAATAAAGGCGATGAACCACCTGTTGGAAATGGGTATTGAACGAGGGCACTTATGCAGAAATGCCTTTCATTGGCTATCTTCCAAATGACGGTCTTAAATTATCGAGGCAGAAAATAGACCCTAACAGGGCCTCAGTCACGTGTCAATTGCGCACTTCCGGCGATTTAAATTGCGCTCTTCTGGCGATTTAAATTGCGCACTTCCGGCGACTTCCGCCACCGCCGAGAGTATCCCATACGCCGCCCACGCGGCGTGGATTAGGGCTAAACTAGATGGCTGGGACTCCTGCAGCTGCCTCCATTTTATTTGCTCATGAGTCCTAGCCATCTAGTTTAGCCCCAATCCACGTCGCTCACGTTGCGTGGGGGATACCCTTGACGGTGACGGAAGTTCGCAATTCGGCGGCGCCGGTTTAGAGCCAGGAAGTGCGCAATTGACACGTGACTGAGGCCCTGTTAGGGTATATTGTCTGCCTCGATAATTTGGGACCGTTATTCTGAAGATAGCTCTTTCATTTTTGCAGCGGTTAAGTTGTGGTTTTCAATATGGCCGTTAGTTGGTTTTTGTGTGGGCTGGTGAAATACCTTATTTAATAATTTTACGTGGTATAGCCAACATATTGTGACAGTCTACTTCCATCAACGACAAAACGCATTTCTGGTGTCGACTGTATATCGGTTGTATACTTTTTCACGCTGCTGCTCATCCATCTCTTGATGTTGTCCTCTGACTTGTACCGTTGTCTAAGCATTGCTCTCTTGCCTTCGACTTTTCCTCCAGATATTAAAAAAAAAGAGTGATACGTCTTTTAACGTTTCCGAAATATTTTATTTCTTTTAATGTCTTTCAGCAAATATCTTTTCTTTCTGCGTCTCATCATAGACTTGTATAATGTATTTTTTTTTACATGAAATTAAGTTAGTTGCGTATCCTTTACAGAACGTCGCAGAACCAACCCTAGTATTGTTTGGCCGTTGTGCTTTTTTCAAGGCAAACTTTACGTTGAGTAATTTGCCATTGTTTACTAAACGGTCAGCTTTCGGTACCAATGTCGAAACCAACGCTAGACAAAGCGTCCGCTGCAGAGATCGAACCTTGTACCCCGACATTACGAAGCTCGATCGCCATGTCTGAGCCACAAACGCGGACTTCCATGTAATACAATCTATTAATATTTCATTGAAAAAAGGAAGGGAAAAAAAAACCTCGATGACATAAAGAGTTCAGTACATGGAGTTGAAATATGTACTTCTCCTTTCCTTTTTGTGCCAGACACTTATTCCATTGCTTATAGGCCAATATACATCAATGGATGATGTCAACATCGCGCCTGCCGCCTTTACATCCCAGGATTTCACCTGGTACCCATTTTATGCTGGGTCGACCTGGGAGCCAAGATCATGATTGAAAAAATCCACCTCTATGCGGATTTGAACCCACGACCTCTAGAGCGTCTAGCCGCCACACCACGGCGGCTCCCTCCGTTTATAGTGTATAACTATTCTCTATGTACAAGTTCGACGACGATTCCTACGTGCGGCAAAACACAGGCGGCATTCACACACTTCAACTTTTTTTTGAAGAGACCGATCACTCACTAACAAGTCTCGAGCACACTGACGACATTTCTCAATGATATTCATAATCTTTCAACACTCCAACACACATACATATGATCACACGCACGCACACATCATTACGCCAAATCTAAATAAAAAAAAAAAAATGCATAAATCACGTGCATTCTCTACTTCAACATATTCCTGTTAAACCACCCATTTCCTTTTGCTATGTTTATCTATAACACATGTGTACGGGTGTCTGCGACTCGGTTGAGGGGATAGGAAGCGCTCGCGTTATCTGTGGGACCTCCTAGTGACTACCAGTGATGTAATCAAGGTTAAAGAGCTCACCCCTACACGCCAGTACCGTATCGACCGCGATATTAACCTGTTTCTGCGGATTTTGATGTTATCCACATGTGTGGTTTATTTCTCATTTATTTTGTTCTCATTATCTCTTGGGCTCCAATTTCTCTCTCTCTCTTTCTCTCTCTCTCTCTCTCTCTCTCTCTCTCTCTCTCTCTCACTTTCTCTCTCTCTCTCTCTCTCTCTCTCTCTCTGTGACTCTCCGTCTCTCTGTGTGTCCCTGTCTGTCTCTCACTCTGTATGTGGGTGTGCGTATTTAGGTGTGCGTGTGGGTGTGCCGATATGTCATTATCTCTGTCTTCTGTTATTCTCTCTCACCGACTGTCTATCTGCCTGTCCCATCTATCTATCTATCTATCTATCTATCTATCTATCTATCTATCTATCTATCTATCTATCTATCTATCTATCTATCTATCTATCTATCTATCTATCTATCTATCTATCTATCTATCTATCTATCTATCTATCTATCTATCTATCTATCTATCTATCTATCTATCTATCTATCTATCTATCTATCTATCTATCTATCTATCTATCTATCTATCTATCTATCTATCTATCTATCTATCTATCTGTCTGTCTGTCTGTCTGTCTGTCTGTCTGTCTGTCTGTCTGTCTGTCTGTCTGTCTGTCTGTCTGTCTGTCTGTCTGTCTGTCTGTCTGTCTGTCTGTCTGTCTGTCTGTCTGTCTGTCTGTCTGTCTGTCTGTCTGTCTGTCTGTCTGTCTGTCTGTCTGTCTGGCTCTCTGGATAGCTAGCTATTAGAGGCCCCTGATAAGCAATGGCCCAAGCTGATGTTCTCAATTCTCCCTGTGAGGCAGCAGGAGTAGATGATTCACCAGACGACCTGGAATCGGCGACCTTGATGAGGCTACAAGATCATCATCCAGGCCCGAAAATTTGTCGCCAGACATGAACAGCGTTCTTGCAGGCAAAGAAGAAAAGTAAACCAACAGAGAACTGGGCACTCTTCCGAATACCGGTCACAAATTATTCACTGCGAAAAAGATCCCTTTGAGAGCCTCAAGCGGTTACGTAGTGAAAACATTTAGGCCATTATCATCAGTTTTCACTTCTGCCGTTATTTCACGATGGATAGTAATGTTAAGACGTTGAGCTAAGCGACGTGGGGGAGGGATGAATAATTTTCGATCCATTGAAGCGACGTGAGAAGGAATAATTTTCGATCTATTGAATCGACGCGGGGAGGAATAGTTTTTGATTCATTGCCACATTAGAAAGCATGTTGTAAAAGGCAACTAATTAGGACTTTGCTGACAACCGATGTGTTGGGGCGAAAGGCGCCTTGCTGTAAATCACAATTCAACGTGTCAACCACCCTTTCAAGGGCGACAAATAAAAATAAGATAACCTACCCATGACATGACGATTGAGGATCTCGCCACGGCAATCGCAGCATAGCTGTTAATCACAAGACCGAGCTAAAAGCTCAGATATCACAACCTAGCTGTAAACCACAACATCCACAAGTCTAACACTTCAGGTTCCAGAGATAGTTTCAACAATGACGCTACCGATGCTACAGTCTGTTCCAGAGACAGTTTCAACTATGAGGCTACCGGTGCTATAGTCTGTTCCAGAGACAGTTTCAACAATGAGACTACCGGTGCTATAGTCTGTTCCAGAGACAGTTTCAACTATGAGGCTACCGGTGCTATAGTCTGTTCCAGAGACAGTTTCAACTATAAGGCTACCGGTGCTATAGTCTGTTCCATAGACAGTTTCAACAATGAGACTACCGGTGCTATAGTCTGTTCCAGAGACAGTTTCAAGTATAAGGCTACCGGTGCTATAGTTTGTTCCAGAGACAGTGTCAACTATGAGGCTACCGTTGCTAAAGTCTGTTCCAGAGACAGTTTCAATTATGAGGCTACCGTTGCTATAGTCTGTTCCAGAAACAGTTACAAGTATAAAGCTACCGTTGCTATAGTCTGTTCCAGAGACAGTGTCAACTATGAGGCTACCGGTACTATAGTCTGTTCCAGAAACTGTCAACTATGAGGCTACCGTTGCTATAGTCTCTTCCAGAGACAGTTTCAAGTATGAGGCTACCGTTGCTATAGTCTTTTCCAGAGACAGTTTCAAGTATGAGGCTACCGGTACTATAGTCTGTTCCAGAAACAGTGTCCACTATGAGGCTACCGTTGCTATAGTCTGTTCCAGAGACAGTTTCAACA